GGTAAGTTTGATGATAATATGTCTTGGTGATTTTCTTTTGAGGTCTATCCTATTTGGGGTTCATTGGACTTCCAACGAATGGGTATATTCTCATCTTTCATCATACCAGGAAAATTCTCTTCCAACAAATCTTAGACAATTTTCTCTCTGGTTTTATTTGTCTCTCCTTGTTCTGGCATTCTAATTACATGTACTTTATTCTTTTTGATGATATCCCACATGAACCTTAGGCTTTCTTCATTTTGTTTTGATCTTTTTCCTGATTTATCACTTTCTAAAGAAATATTCAGGTATTTGCCTTCAGTCTCCCTAATTCTGTCTTCCATTGGTTCAGTTCTGCTCCTTTGCCCATTTCATAAATTATCTATTTCTGCAAATTTAGTATTAATCTTCTGGATTTCTGTGTGTAGATTTTGTATCATTTCTAATTTTTCATTTATTTTGTCATTTTGTTCTTGTATTGTCTTTCGAAATTGTTCTAGGTTTTTCTCTGTGTTTTCCTCAATTTTGCAGGTGTTTTCCTTGATCTGTCTCTCAATTCATTGAAGATACGTAAATTCTTTTCAATTCCTTATCAGTGGGTTCCAGTGCTGCATCTTCCTCATGGTTGTGTTTTGGGTCTGTATTCTGGTCCCTTGTTTCTCCTGCTTTATCTTGCTTCTTTGTGTGAACTGTGATGCTCTGTTGTCTCCGAGGCATTGTGACGTTTTTGTTTTTATATTTAATTGATGATTGTATGTTGGAGTGACTTGCCCACGATTTTCGTTTTGTTTGTATGTTATCTATGCAAGAGGGCACTGTGCTGTGCTCCTCTATTCACTACTTGACAGTACTTATACACTCACCACCTATCTCCTTTTCTGTTGTCATCCTTTCATATGTCCCTGCTGTCCTTGGCAAACAGAGCCTATTCTTAGGTCCTGTTTTTGTTCAGGGTTTTCCACTGTTGTTGTTGTTATGTGCTGTCAAGTCAGACCTGATTCATAGCAACACCTCCTTTGATTTCTGAGGTGGTATCACTGTGGAAGTAGATTGCTCAGCCTTCCTTCTGAGGAGCGGCTGGTAGGTTTGAACCACCAGCCTTCCTGATTGGTGCCTAATCTGCTTCTGTATAGTTCCTTTTAAAGCTTAGGGCTCCAGGATTATCTTCTGTATCTCTGTCAATTTATTTTTCTATTCTTTGTTGAAGAGGGTCTGTGTCGCTTATCTGCCTATTCCTCCATCTTACCTGAAGTTCCCTTAGGGTACCTATTAAGACATCAAAAGCCAACCAAACTGCCATGGAGTCAATTCTGACCAACATTGGGTTTCTGGGACTGTAAATCTTTGTGGAAGTAGACTGCCTCATCTTTCTTCTACAAAGTGACTGGTGGGTTCGAACTACCAACCTTTGGTTAGCAGCCAAGTGATTTAACCAGTACACCACCTGTTTTGGTTACCTAGTGCTGCTCTGACAGTAATATACTACAAATAGATGGCCTTAACAAACAGAAGTTTATTCTGTTATAGTTTGGAGGCTTTTAGTCTGAGTTCAAAGTGCCAGGCTCTAGTGGCTGGGTGAAAGCCCCTCAGCCTTGGGCTTCAGCTCTGCCCCCTGCTCCTGGCCTACTGGAACTGTAGGCGTTTCTTCACTCAGCTACTGGCTGCTGAGGCTGACAAGCCCAAGGTTGACAAGTGAAAAGGCACAGTCCTGATGTTACCAAACCACATGGCGGCCTATTAATTCAAGTCCATTGAAAGTCTCAAGGTCAGCAGAGCATGGCAGGATGCTGAACAATGACACAGCTACGTGCCAGGGTCCAAGCATGCCATAAGCTAGAGATCATTCCCAAAGCTACTGCTTAGATAAGGAAAGTGGACCACATCCCTAAAACAGCTACTCAGCTGCTTGTGGTAGATCCCACCATGGAGTTGATTGCTAGTCTTATCATGGAGAATAACTACCATCAACTGCCCAGTCACTCAACCAGGCCCAGCCAGGTTGACATACAACCTTAACTACCATACCACTAGAGCCCCTTTTTAAGACATAGAAATTTAAAATTTTAATGTCTTTGAATTTATCAGTTTTTTCCCTTTCTGGATTTGCTTTTTGTGTACTTACCTGCCTCCAGATTGTAAGAGTTCTTACATTTTAATTATTACTTCTTACATTGAGGTTTTAATTCCACCAGGAAATAATTTTTCTGTATTGTGTGTTAGGGAGAATCAACTGTTTTGGGTTTTTTTCATATAGCCAACCAGTTACCCCAACACTATTTATTGATAGTGTTTTTCTTGGTAAGTTGTTATTTTGTCATAACTCAAGTTCTAGTATATACTTTGATCCATTTCTAAGCATATTGTTCTAGTCCTTAAGTTCGTTTATTTTCCATTCTTGTTCAAATATGACAAGTGTCTTTAATTACCATTGCTTTATAATGACTCTTGAAATCTGGCAAGTCCCAGAAAAATGTTTTGTTTTTCTGCTTCCAAATTGTCTTGGCTATTCTGTGGCCAACTGGGAAATTTGAAACAGGAAAAATTGAGTATGAACTAGGTATTAGATGCACCCAGGGCATTACTGTTAATTTTGTTAAGTTTAAAAATGGCATTATGGCTATGTAAGAAAATGTCCATATGTTTTAGAGATGCTCACTTAAGTATATGGGGGTGAAATGACATTGCTGTAGGAAAACAAGGTTCTTCTTGCCCCCTTTTGCAAAGAGCCAATGATCACAACAGGCTGAAGAGGGAAAGCAAAAGGTTTGCGTATACCCAAGGAGACAGAGAATCATTTCTCTAAAATGTCTGTCTCCTCCGGAGAAGGGGTAAACATGATTATATAAGGAAATGGGAAGGGGATTGAAGATCCCTTGGACTGCCGGGAATGTCTTTGTTCTTCTCTTCCCTGGTTGCTACAGACTCAGCTTCACTCTTCCCAGGGTCATCTTACTTGCTACTGTTCTCAGCTAAAACCAGTCATGGGAGAGGGTTATGCTTAGAAGAATCTATCATTGAAAATAACAGACCTAAAGAACTCAGCATCTGTAAGGAGGTTGGCTATTTTATTTACTTAAAAGAAAGCAAAAGGGAGGGGAAAATAGCAGGTTAGTCACTATGATGAATGTCTACTTTAATCCTGCCTGCCAGTCTGTTAAAGTTCTGCAGTTTTCAGCGAGGGGCCCCTTCAGCCTTCCACTTCAGCCTTCCACAGCGTGAAGTCAGTGATTTGCTTTAAAACACGTTAGCCAAGAAAAGGGGAAAATGAATGAAGTGTTGTAAAATATTGGTAATTGTTAAATCTGTGTGATAAAGTATGGAGCATTATGGTTGAAAAATACAGAAACTTTAAAAATTGTGCATTCTTAGCCCTTTCCTTTTCTGGTTTTATAGCCCTTTCCTTTTCCATATAAATTTTAGGGTCAATTTGTTAAATGTCCATGAAAAACACTGTTGAACTTTAGATTTAGTTGCATGGAATTTAAAGAGAATTGATGTGTTTGATGTATTTATGATAATCTTCTGTCTGTGAATAAGCTATTTGTTTATTTTGCACTCTTGCTTTTAAAGCATGTTTTAATAAAGTTTTATAGTTTTCTTGTTGGAAAGGTTTATCTTTCTCTTTTGTTTTTTGGTTTTGCAGTGTTTCGCATTAATTTGAACACCCCCCCCCCCCCTTTTTTACATTTTAATGTTTACAGTGTTTCCTTCTTTCCCTTCCCTCCCCGGTAACCAACAAAGAAAGTTTATATATCTGTTATTAGATTTATTTCCAAGTGCCTTATATTTTTTGGTTCTGTAATTAATGGCCTATTTATTAATAAAATTCCTCTTTGTAGTATGTAGGTGGGAGGTTTTTTTAAAGATAGAATAGCTGTGTTCTTCCAGAAGTAACTTCTGTTTTTTAATTGTAGTAGCAACAGTCTATAAATTGTGAATAAGAGAATGTTCTTTAACCTCATGATCTATTTTGTGTGAGAGTTAACTTGTTGGTTGACTTGTTGTACTTATTCATGGTAAAAACAGTTTAACCATTTTCTGTATATATTGCTGTTTGTAATTTTGATTTCAGAATGTCCCTAAGATAATATTGGGTGTAATACCAACAATACATTTTTTTTATCTTTTTAAAATTTTTTATTGTGATTTAGGTAAAAATTTACAGAGCAAATTCATTTTTCATACAGCAGTTCATACACATTTTGTTTCATGACATCAGCTGAAATTTCCACAATAAAAATTGCTCTTCTCATTTCCTCCCTGTACTTACTTCTTTGCTGTGTCCTTCTTTCCTATGCATTCCTGCCCCTTGAGCTGTCTTCTTGGGGCAAATCCTGCCTTTCTGTTTCCTAAGATTGATCCTTCTAAGGAGTGTACCTTCCTGGTGTAAATGTTTACCCTATATGGCTCTCTGTTGTTTGGCTGGAAGCCATGGAAGTGAGTTCAATTCCAGAGCTGAAGAGTGGTTAGGTGCCATAGTCTCAGGGGTCTTACCAGGCTCTGTCCTTTTTGTGATTTTGGGTTTTGTTCCACATTGTTTTTCCACTCTATCTGGGAGCTCCTGCACTGATCCCTTTCCAAGTGGTTGACAGTGGTAGCTGGGCACCATAGCAGTACAACATTTTTTAATTTCATTGTCACATCTTTCCTCCAAAGTAGGCTAACTTGAAATGAGTTTTTTAAAAAATATTAACCATTATACCTGCAGGTATTTTGTTCACTGTTAGCCTTACAAAGATAAAGGAAACGTTTATTTTTTTTAATTCTATAGTTTGAATGTATAATGCAAAAACTTAAGCAGCAAGGAATGGTAGGAAATTGATCCTCTCTTATAATGTTATTTTTGCCTTTCTGATTCATAAGTCTTGCTCTCTTCTTACCATTAATACTAACTACATGTGAATTCTACGTGTCCCCCCCCCCCCGTGGCTAAGTTTTTGAAGTAATTTACATATTATGCATTTAGTCTAAATCGTTCAACACATTTCTAACGTGTTTGCTTTTCCCCCTCCTGCCAGATAAAACTTGGGCACAGATCAGAAGCTAAAGATGGTAAGTATTTCATGTAATCTGGCAGAACAGAAAATTTTCATTCTCATTAAGAAAATGAACAGAATATTACTTAGAATTAGCAAGGGTTCTGGGTAATTAGGAGAGGTTCTGGGTAAAGTTTCTGTAGAGTCTCAGTCTGCCATTTAGATGTTCAGAGGAATTTGAACCCACTAGCTACTCCACAAGAAAAAACTCTTTTATAAAGATTTATAAAGCCTTGGAAACCCTAGGGGGCTGTTCTACTCTGTCCTAAAGAGTTGCTGTACGTCAGAATCAACTCGATGACAGTGGGTTTGGTTTTTTGGCTTAACTAAAAGGAAGGCAGTAAGATTCTTAGTGTCTTACTCTCTATCTTCTTTACTGTTTTAGGCGTTGCATGCCATTGTTTCTTCTATATCTGAGCTTCCAGTTACTTTGAAATTTCAGGATACACCTTCATAGAAATACACAAAGCTCACTATGAAATAGATAAGTAGGGGAAAAAGATTTTCTTATAGCCCTTCTTCCAAAACCTTGTTCACTAGTCTGCTAAGTCATATTTAACTAAAACCAAGACCAATGCCATGAGTTGATTCCAACTCATAGTGACCCTATAGGACAGAATAGAACTGCCCCATCAGGTTAATAAAGCTGTAATCTTTTATTCAATTTTTATTGTGATTTGGGTGAAGGCTTGCAGAGCAAATTCATTTTCCATACATTAGTTCACATACACTTTGTCTCATGACATTGACAACAGCTCCACTCCCACTTCTTCCCCATAGTTACCCCTTCCCTGTGTCCTTCCCTCTCATGCACTCCTGCCCCCCGAGCTTTCTCCCTGTGCATACACAACCCTTCTATCTCCCATGATTATTGATCTCTCCAGGCAGTATAAATACCTAATGTAAATGTTCAGCTCATGTGCCTGTTTTTTGTTTGGCTAGAAGCCACCGGAGTGGGTTCAATTCCAGACCTGAAAGAGCCACAGTCTCGGGGGTTCCATCAGGTTCTATCAGACCACAAAGCTGTAATCTTTTTTTTTTTTTTTTTTAATTGTGATTTGGGTGAAGATTTACAAAGCAAATTTACTTTCCATACAGCAGTTCACATACATTTTGTCTCGTGACATTGACCACGATTTATCACAATGCAACAGCTCCCCTCCCACTTCCTCCCCATAGTTACCTCTTCCCTGTGTCCATCCCTCCATGCACACCTGCCCCCTGAGCTGTCTCCCTGTGCATAAGCAGCCCTTCTTTCTCCCATGATTGTTCTTAACGAGTATATCTACCTCAAGTACATGTTCAATTCATATGCCT